CCAAGTGGTTACCATCTGCTTATTTAAATGTTAATTTGTTTGTTTAAAACTAGCTTGTGTGTCCCAGAAGATTTTAAGTCAGTCTGGAGGGGTTTTAAGGTTGTAACCCTTTTCTCTCTTTTTAAAATTTTAACTTTATTCATTTTATCATTTTCCTTTTTATTGATGGAATAGCACACAAAAATATGATATGTAACTGCACATCCCATCCCCTCAAAACAGTGACAATGTCCCATAAACCTCTTGTGCTTGAGGTTCCCCTCCTCCTCGTTCTCCTCCTCCGCAGCCTCCTTCTCCTCCACCACTACCACAACCCACCCCTGGCCTCATCATAATCTACAGTCTTTTCCTTTGGTGTGAAACAATTTTTTTTCCTTATAATAAAGGCATACAAAATATTTGTCTTTATGAGATTGACTACTTTGCTAAGCATTGTTGTCATTAGGCACCATGTCTTCAATTCTGGCCCTGCCCCACCTCACAATTGTTCCTCTGCCGGAGTGCATTGTAGCCACAGTGTCCGTCCATCTCACTGGGGCCTTCCTCTTGTCCCTGCCCCTCCACTCTACCAGCCATGCTGGCTTTCTCCAGGGTGTCTCCTAACACTATGTCCAAAGCATGGAAGACAAGGCCTTGCCACCCTTGCCTCTTAGGGGCACTCTGGCCTTACTTCTTCCAACACAGATTCATTTGTCATTTAACATTCGATGGTATTTCCAATATTCTTTGCCAGCCCCACTATTCCAATGCATTGATTCTTCCTCAGTCCTTATTCAATGTCCAACTTTCAAAGTGAGTATAATGAATAGAATGTCCTCCAATTTTGTCAATATCATGGTGTTTGACAGATTTCACATTATGTTTTAAGGATGCATAATATTCCATTGTGTGTGCCAGAATTTGTTTATCCATTCATCCATAGATGAGGATTTTTATTGTTTCCATCTTTTTTGCTTTTATATAAAGTGCTGCAATGAAGATGGGTGTATGTATGTTTATTCATATTTAGTTTTTTAGTTGTTTTTTTTTTAGTGTATATACCAAGTAGAGAGATTGCAAGATCATAAGGCTTTGGCGCTCACATTTGTTTAAGGAAGTGCCGTGCTGTTTCCATGGCGGTTGTAGAACTCTGCGACCCACCAGACATTTATGAGCGTTCCAATCTCGCCACATCCTCTTCAGCATTTATTATTTTCGGTTTTTTAATTTTGCAAAAAAATGTTGGTGTGAGGTGGTATCTCATTGTTATTTTAATTTGTATTTCTCTATAGCCAATGAACTCAAGCATTTCTTCACGTGATTGTTGGCCCCTCCATATGTCATCTTTAGTAAATTATCTATTCATGCCTTATGCCCATTTTCTCTTGGCTTATTTGTATTTTTCTTATTCTTTTTT